AATATATGATCATCAGCACATAAGTCTAGAGGGGCAGCTAAAGCACTTTAAATAGCATTCATAAAGATGAAAACCTTGACATTTACCCCATGGAAAGAGACAAGTCTCATCAACAGGACCAAATCAATTATTTTATGGATGACTATTGCATTGCAAAATTGAGATAAGGTACTACCTGGTTTCATAACTTACCCTTACGTCCTTTTAAAATAGTAAGTTTCACAATCAGGCTTCAGTGAGGAATTTTACCAAAAGCCCGTTTTGAAAACAATCAAGAAAATGGTGCCTCTGGTCATCATGGTAGTTCAATAACATCAAAAGATATTTCCAATCATAGAAATACTCACTATCATTGGTTTATATACTATGAAATCCACTCCTGAGATACTTGGGAATGGATATAGTTGATTCTTTCATCACATTTTGTTCAGTTTTGCTTTGTTCAGCACTGGGGATTGAACCCAGGCCCACTCTGCTACTTATGAGATACATGATGGTCAGGCAGACAGACAGACAGACAGACAGACAGACAGACAGACAGACAGATCTTTGCTTTTAAATTTTGAGACAGGGCCTCACTAAGTTAACCAGCCTGGAACTTACAATCCTCCTATACTGGCCTCCTGAGTAGCTGAAATGACAGGAAAGTGCCACCACACCTAGCAATAGTCCATTGAAAACTCCAGTTTGTTCCCTAATTGACCTCTGAGGAACCAATTCAGGTCTATCATGAATTGTACATTCACTTATGTGTGATTGTGCATACAATAACACGAACACTACCCAGATCAACTGAGCAATACAAAAATACATGAAAGAGAAACATCCCTCCAGCCCTGCCTGCCCCTCAGCTCACAACACGTGTTACAAACCACACCCACACAGACCCGGTAGTACAAGTTTTTACCAACTTCAAATGACCTGTCTTCCAATACCTCATACGAACTCTCAGGCTTCAATCCCTCAGATTCCTGTCTTATAAACAAACAAGAAGTCTTTTGTGAGGTGCCTACTATGTGTATTATAATAGTTACACATTTCTCAGCCATTTAACATGTGTAAAAGTGTGCCATCGTTTTTACTCAGTTCTTTTCTTTTGTATGTGTTAACGGGCAAGTACGAGGTTTTGCCCCATTTCTTCTTACGAGCCCATGAGTTTGTTGTATAATACGGCAAGCTAAGGTGCATTTTAGAGACACACATTTCAGTTTTAGCAGAACTGACATACGTGGCTTTTTGTTGGATGTATAAATCCATATACTGATGGATTCTTTATAAACACACACATGCATGCATGCACACACACATGCACACATACACACATTTTGCCTGCACCACAGAATCCATCAGTTTCTCATCTGCCCTAGGAAGTCCCTGGCGGACACAGAAGCCGCAAAGGTGGCGGCACCAGGATTCGCTGGAGCTCTGTTGCATCCTCCCTGTGGCGACCAGGACCAGCTCTGACCTCCGCCATGGCGATGCTTTCCGGGGCCGCAGGATGAACCAGTGACTCGGCTGACCCCGGGCATGGCGGACCCAGTGGCTGGCACTGCAGGCTTGGCAGCCAAGAGCATGAGGTCATTCGGCTCGAGTGAGGCCCATGTGGAAGCCTTGAAGGAAGACCTGACCGAATGGCCCAATGCCTTGTATGGCCTGGGTCTGCCTGGTAGTGTTGATGGCTTCATGACAGGGCTGGCCACAGGCACAACCCTGTGCCAGCATGCCAACGCTGTCACTGACGCTGCCCGCAATCAGTCCGCCGCCCACCCAACCCAAGATGTGGACTCTCAGGCACACAGCATGGCACCTGGCTCCTTCATGGCCTGGGACAATGTAGCCACCTTCATCGGCTGGTGCCACATGGAGCTGAGCGTGCCTGAGGTGCTCATATTTGAGACTGAGAACCTGGTGCTGCATAAGAATGAGAAGAGTTGGGTGCTGTGCCTGCTGGAGGTGGTGAGACGTGGGGCTGGCCTTGTCCTGCTCGCCCCCGCGTCATGTAGTTTGAGCAGGAGACTGAGCAGGAGCTACCTACCCGCTGTACCCTCAGCTTCCAGTGTCCCCAGTGCCACGGAGGAAAGCACTGAAACCACCACTGCACCAGGGTCTCCTCCCCGCAGACACCGAATGACACCCAGGGACCTGCGCAACCTTGATAAGCTGATGAGGGAGATCCTGGGCCACTGCGCCTGCCCAGATCACTTCCCCACGAGCAAGGTCTCAGAGGGGAAGTACTGAATAGGAGACTCCAGCCTGCTCATCTTCATGCAGCCCACCGTCCGTCCCAGTCGAGGGTGAGACTCTTCTTCCCTGCAAGAGTATCACCCACCCCCAGTCTCCGCCCTGGTAGCCCAGTCCCAGGAGGTGAGCACCTGGGCTCTTGGCAGGCAGGAAGTGACTCCCATTAGTTTAGGAAGCACAAAGCAGGGGCCTGAGACCCCGCTTAGGCCCCAGGATCTCCTGCCTCCTCTTACCCCATCCCACAGCTACTCCAGAGAGTGACTCCTCAGCCTCCTTAGTCCTGAGCAGGCTCCTTGGCTCCCGCAGTGACGACACAGGCCCTGGCACCTGGAGGGAACGGCCCAGCCGGCAGCTAACCACTGGCACCCCAACCTCCCCGAGATGGCCACCTGCCCCTCGCAGCCAGTCCAGAGACCATTTGGATTGGGACTGGCCCCGTGCAGCTCTCAGGGGCAGAGGAGCCCTGCTGCCTGCCCCTAGCCCCACCCAGCGGGCCCGCAGCCAGAGCCCTGAGAAGCAGGCTGTACTCTTGTTGCACAGGGACAGAGATGGGCAACACTCATGGTTGCCTAAGGGAAGGGATGGTGGGGGCTCAACCATGAGTACCCCTCAGGCTCTGGAGCCCACAGCCCTGAAGCAGGGCGACCTCCCAGGATCTCCAGTCCTGAGATCACCAGCCAGCTGGTTTCGCAAACCCCTGCAGCTTGACCTACAGCAAGAGCAGTAACTGTTCCATCGTCTGGAAAAATTCCTGGCCAATGCCCGCACCCTTGAGGCTGCTCCTAGCCAACCCCCTGGACCAGCCCCTGGCCTAGCTCGAGCTCCAGATCCTGCAGCTCCTGACTCAGCCTGCTGTTCCTCCAGGTCCTCCTCTTCTTCCCTCAGCATCATGGGTGGCAAGTGTGGCCCACCTGGGGACTCTGGCCAGACAGCCAATGGACTGCCAGGGCCCCCGCAGCCAAGCCCTGTCCAGCTCTTCTGATGAAGGCAGCCCTTGTCTTGGCATGGGGATGCCACTAGATGCATCTGGGAACTCTTTGGCTGGCCCAGAACCCTCACAGACCTGGGCACGGGGTCGGATGGACACATAGCCAGATGTAAACCCTCACGCATCCTGACACCATGCGGTCCCTGCCGCCCATCTGAACCCACGCAGCTCGGGCCCGGCATGCTCTGCACTCGAGCTGCACTCAGTCACCTCAAGGGGCAAGCCAAATTCCTGAATGTGGTGGACCAGCCTAGCTGTTGCCAGATCCCCTTTCCTTTGTGGCCTTAACCTACCCTCTGTATCAGGGAGTCCCCTCCACTCTGGAGTACCAGATCTCACTGGACCAGACCCCTCAGGACCACATGGCACAATGGGACTTCTGTTGTATATGCCTGTTGGGGAATGAGCATTATTATTTAATTACTAATATTATTTGAATGCCTTAGAGGAGGCCAGGCAAGCCCGGTGTTCTGAGGACCTGTGGCCCAGCAAAGCCTCTGACAGTAAAATTTTGCTCCAGAAAAAAATAAAAAGAAGTCCCTACTATCTGCTTCCCTGACCACATCCCCCAGAAAGCAGCTCCTGCTCTACACACCTTGCCAACAGCACCTGCTTCTCTCTCTATTCACTGGGCTTTGATCAAAGAACAAGGGCATTCAATTCAGGAAACCTAAGAGCAAATCCTGACTGTGCCACTGGTTACTACTACAACTTTAGACAAAACTTTTAAAATAGGAGTCTCTATTCTTTTGTGCATATATGAGATAAAAGCCCTTAGAGTGAATGCTTACGGTTAAAAAATGTGATTTTCAAAAAACAAATACAAACTTTTAATTTCTTAAGTTAAATTCAGAGCCAAGAGCATCTCTGAGATACAGTCCCATCCAAAAGCCTCTTGTTAAATAGACAGTTAAAGCCAGGAGGCCTCAGGGATACAGTTGGAGCCAACGAATCCTCCTAGAGGTGGCCCCAACCAGCAGGCTCTTATGCAGCATCCAGAAACATCAGAGCAACAGTGGGAGCCAGAAAACCATACAGATACAGTAGACTCCAGTGGACCCTCAGGGTAACATTCCCAACTTACTCTTAGGTAGGAATCAGGAGCTCCCAAAAGATAGAGCCAGGAAACTTGGAGGGACTAAGACAGTTCTAGAATCAATTTAGAGACACTGTCAGAACCAGGAGGCACCGAAGACACGGTTGTTACCAAGAGCCTCTCAGAGAAAAAAATCAGAACTGGGAAAATTATAAACATTTGGTAATTATCAAACTTGGTAATTAGCAAAATTATCAAATCCAAGGGTCATAGGCCCATCCAAGGTTCCTCAGGGACAAAATTGGATTTAGATAGGTATAAGATATATATCTGGCACCAGAAACCCACAAGGATGTAGTCTACATGAGGCCTTCAAGGAGGACAGAGCCAGCCAGGAGCCCTCAGAGACACAGAACCTAAAGCCCTCAGAGACACTATAGTTAGCACTAGAAAGCCTCACACTAAAACAGTTCCAAGGGTCCTCATAATCACAGCTGCATCACCAGCATCCCATGTAAAAGTTGTTGGAAAACGCTAACGACATTCTTCATAACACCTCAGGAGGGTCTTAGAGTTAAATTCAAACCCAGCAGGTTCTCCAAGGAATACCGAACCATGAACTAAACAATAGGAAGCATGCTCACATCCAAGAAATTTATAGACAGCATGTCACAGAAACACCAATCACAGCAACGGCCCAGTCCTTCAAAGTGAACTCTGGGAGGAGACTCTTACCAGCACACTTTGTCCTGGTGGTGAGGGGAGGCCCTGGAGGTCCTGTCCCCCCTTCGCCTGGTCTTGTGAGTAGTACCCGTATCTCATACTCCACATCAGGGTCCAGATGCCACAGCTTGTAGTTGGGAGAGTCGACAATGTGGGTCTCAGCCCAGGTGCCTGTGGTGGTGCGGTATTCCACCTCCTTCAGGATGATGGGTCCATCCCCAATGATGGAGTTGGCATTTGGCTTGATCCACAGGTAGGTGGCCCCCACAGCCAGCAGCTCTGGGGGCGCAATGGGCGTGGGAGGCTCTGCAAGGAAAGCAACAAAAAGATCTCAGTCTCAAAAGTGGTACTGAGCGAAATTAAAGCAAAAGAGGCTAAGGAACAGAATTCCAGACACAGCTATAGAAAATGGCCAACATCTTATAATCAACCCCATTTACACCCGACTTCCAATTTCAAGACTGTAAATAAATGAATCAGTATTTCTTCTGCAACATGACTCCACACCTATCCTACCCCTTTCATTTAAAGAAAGAAAAGAAAAAAGACAATGTGAGGAAATGAATTTTCCAAACCATAGCAGTCTATCTGAGGACAGGCTTTGTCTTCTACCCACAAAGGAGAATCCGCCTTTACTAATGTGCAGTTTGGCACAAACTCAAGGGGAGTCTGAAGTTTTGAACATTCTTATGCTAGGATCCATAAAAGTTAGTGGAAAATCTCCCAACGGGTGATCTGAGCATGAGGTAGAAAAGAATGATAGTACAGAAAGAATTCTGCTTCTTCCTCCACTTGGAAGGCTCCTTACAGCAAAGAAAAGATGTTGGCCAGGATGGACCCAGCAGGAAGTGAGGGTCAAAGAAAAAGTCATGCAGTGTTATCTCATATCTGCTGTATGTTGCTGTCTCCCTTCCACTAAGTTCCACAGAGTCACCTAAAAGACCAGAACTGTGACAAGCATTTATGGTGATCTCTTTCTGACTATTGTAGCTTATTGGGAACATTGTAGAAGTTAGGTACTACTTTGATATTTTTATATACCAGGAAATTCCAGATGTGCTATTCCATGTAATTCTTACAACATTATCAGCTTCACGCCACTGGATAAAAATCTGAAAACCCAAAAGATCAGGTCACCAACCAACGTCATGCATGGGACAGATAGCGCAGGATCCAACTCCACATCTGCATGCCTTCCCAGGTCAGCTATCCTCCCTGAGGTCTATTTCTTTCTTGATGTTCATTTCTTATAAAAGTAAAATTGGATGTTTGTTATTCTTATTTGTAGCACATACAAGAGTGAAGGAATAAAGATAATGAAAAGAAATGCAAAACATTTCTTCGCTACCATCCAACATAATGGCCATTTTTACTTCTTCTTATTTCATTCCCATTATTATTCAGATAGTTCTAGTTTTTATGTGGTTACAAATAATACACACCCGCAATGTAGATTTGTTTTTCTGCCCTCATGTAACATCTGAGGTGTTATGGTTTGGAACTTGAACCCCAGAACTCTCACGTGCTCAGAGGTAAGGCTTTTGGAAGGTGGGTGGATTAGGCTGGATAACTAGAGCTACACTCACTAGAGGCTCCATCCAGTGGTGAGCCCAGCAGATAAAGGTGCTGTTGGGAGGTGGGGCCAGGTCGAAAGAGGGAAGTCATTGGGAGGTGACCTGGAAGGGTGACTCCTCCTTCATGGCTCCTTCCTTCTCTCTGTTTTTTACAGTCCATGAAATGAGCAACTATCTTCCACACTGGGCCCTTCCATTGTGCCACTCTACCTTGGAGTTAAGATGAATAAAGCCCACTTTTTCTTCTTTACATGGTGAATGTTGAGTATTTTGTCCTAGTAATAGGAAGGTTACTAAGACAGTAAGGATTTTGTTTATAAACTATAAGGATCTTTAATTGAACATTAACACTTGCTTTCAATAAACCTTAATTTTTATCTCGTCTTTTTTTACTTTTTATTTTTAATTTATTTTAAAGAGAGTATAATCCCAATTCATAAGCCATTGGAAATGGTTCACATGTAGAAGAACAAGATGAGAGGTAGTCAACCATGGTTTTTGTATTACACATTGCTGTCTCCATGTAGTTGTTTGGATTACAGATATTAGCATATAGAGTTAATCGAAGTGAAAATTTTATACATTAACTGCTATTTTCAAAGAACTAATGGAAATAGTAATACAATCATCTCAATGATCATATATATATATATGAAAATTATTATATACAATAGATAATATATTACCTACTATATCTATGTATATATAGACATGATTTTTCCCCTTCTTTTTTTCCATTCACTCCTCTTTGATGTTTATTCCTTATGTTCAGTTTCTTTCCATTTTACTATATCCATTATACCTTTCAGATTTTATTTATTCTTTCAGGTTCTTATACTAGGGAGACAACATGATATTTACACATGTAGGTCTGATTTATTTCACTTATGAGTATAGCCTATAGTTGCTTCCATTTACCTATAAAGTCTTCACATTTATCCTACTTCATAGCTGGATAATACTCCATTGTATAAAAATACCACATCTTTTTTATCCATTCCTCAAGTGATGGGCTTTTTAAAAAACTACACGGATCTTGCTATCAATAGCTTCAGTGACTACAGAAGAATCCATTAAGTTATCATGCTAATTAGTGTCCAATCTTTGGCCCATTAAGTTTTTCTAAATTTTTCTATGGTAAACAATGTTGCAACGAACATCCTTGTGCAAATAATTTCAATCTTTCTTGTTTGATATGGCCTTAGGAACAAATGCCAGGAATGGGATTATCTGTCCAAAACTATAAATGGGTCAATGATTCTTAAAGCAGAACAAAGAAGTAGAGTAAGGAGGGTATTTGGAGGTGCAACACACCGTAGATTTATTCAAGAACATGCCGCTATTGGTGAGACCCTGGAATAATCACATGAGGAAAGGCAGATAGGAGTTTCAATTTGGACACAGGTGAGAACTTTTGGATAGAAATTTATTCAGCATTTTTCTTCTAATTAATTACCTAGTAGCAAAAAATTCTCTAGAAATAGAATAATTTGCTATAAAATAGGGGTGGACAATATTTTCTCAGTGTGACTCAAAACAAATCTTAAGAGACAACTTCAGATTGCCTCTATTATAGCCTGCCATTTGGCCAGAGAACGAAATTAAGCAGATCAGTCAAGGTAGGTGCTTTTCTTTAGAAAGCCATGGAGGTTATTACTCAAGACCTTGTTATCTCAAAGGTGTTTGCAAATTGATTTTTGGATAATTTGTTCCAGGTAGAGAAGTTAACTGGGCAGGCAGATAATTTCTAGGCTCATCCTTTGTGCATTTTAAATATATAGACCCTTTGATCGTCATTACCACCTCTCCAGAGTTCCCATCAGTCTCCAATGAGGCCTCAAGGGTGATATTGTGTAGCTCTGTGATGACACTGCCTAATTCCTTAATATAATTATTCACATACTGGCTCTGGACAAAATTAAGAGCAGCCGACTTCAATGCCGTGGGGACCGAGAGAGTGGCCACATTAAACTCTCCTCCATTGACTTTTCACCATGGTTTGCCGGTCTCCTATTTCAGGCATTAGCAGTTTTCAATTTCTGACCACCAGAAAGAAAATCAAGTATTAATCTTTCCAAGTATCTAATCTCTTTTCATGTCTTGCTAATGGTAGGTACAAGTATAAATAACAAGCATCCTCTTGTGTGTACAAATGACCCCATCTCCAGGGACTTGCAGTTCACAAGTTCAGGAGCAAACTAATCACCAGGGTTGTAGCTCTCCTTCCATGCCCTCCAAAATAGATCGTGTAAGTCCATCACATTGTCTCTTGCTTCTGCACCAGAAAACCAACTGATTATTGGTTTGTTTTGTTCTCTCCCTTGCCAGTGATCTGTTGTCTTAGAATTGGCATTCCAAGTAGTTTACAGAGAAAAAAGCAGGAATGAGGCAAAATATGTCCTTTTTACTTTTTTATTTTTGTCTTTTCTTTATGTAGGCAGCACTTCATTTTTTGAATGTATAGAAAAAACCATGTCTTGTATCAACTCTCCTCCATATCCATTCAATTGTGCTGGAGATATTTATGTAGTTAATACGGACAGTGATTTTTTGGGCTGGCCAAATAGCTCAGTAGAGTAAAGTGCCTCAAGCAGGTGCAGGGGCCACGGGTTTGATCCCTGGGCCTGCCATGCTGGCACCGCCCTTGGGGCGCGCTGAGATGCAACTGAGACTGGGCGTGGTGGCACGCACCTGTAATCCCAGCTCTTGGCAGGCTGTGAAACAGGAGAATCACTACAAGTCTGATCTAGTAGTGAGACCCTGAACACCCTGTAGACCCTTCCCTGAAAATACAAAAAAAAAAAAAAAAAAAAAAAAAAAAAAAAAGGACAGTAATTTTTAACTTTGGGTAGGACATAGGCCCTAAAGATGTAATGAAAATCCAAATTCTTTTCCCACAAAAAATAGACAAAAACACACATAGCTTGGAGTTCTACCTACAATACTAGGAACTTGCAAATTTTTCTGAAACCCATACACAAACCTCTGAGTGGTCTATTTTAAAACCACAAGGAATCTATAGAGAGGCTGCTGACAGGCTACATACCCCAAATATCTGCACCTCTTTGAGACCCTGAACTATCCTCTGCTGCAAAGGGCAGAGGCTGGAAATGCAGTCTTGGGAGGAGACTTGGTGGAGGAGTCACAGGGCTACCACTTTTAGGATCCTCAGTTCGCCAATCTTTGGGCAAAATAAAAATGCTAAGATTTCCACAGCATAATTCCATGTAAATATCCAAGTCCCATGATCAGAACCTGCCCAACATCTTCATAGATTTAATCTTTGTGTTAAACATAAGGGAGAAAGACATGACGCTACCTAAGAAAGGCTACAGCCTCTCTAGAAACTTCCACAGAGGCCATCTTTTCAAACCCACTTTCGTTGACACAAAAGGCTGTATCCGACGAGGGTCTTTCAGTGAACAACCTGGCAGAGAGAACTTCCTGTGAAAGTTCCCGTCCAATATGTACCTGTGCATCTCATGTGCCCATCAGAGCACCTGGCTCTTAGTGGTGAAGAGAAATGCAGGCTCACTGTGCTATGGAACCAGAGGGCACGGTAGCCGAGTGAAGCAGCAATGGCAAACTGGAATAAAGTCCACGCTGGGGATGACAGAGTAATTGTGGGACCTTAGAAGGGACCTAAGCTGGTTTGAGGTTAGGGTAGGTCTTTTAGACAAAGCTTGGAGAGTGGTTTAGTGGGACAAAGCGTTCATGTTAAGTCTGTTAGTG